TTTTAATTATTTGCAGATGATAGATTCCTTATGCAAGGCCTAAAAAAAGTACAATCCTTCAAAAACTGGTGAGAAATAAATATACCCTCTGCAACTAAAGTGGGTCAGCACAACGAAAAGCAGATATTAATCTGGAGAATTCCTGTCTCAGCACTAAGGCTAAATGCCAGCGTGTTTGGAAGGTCAAAGGGAGGAGAAAAGGCTTGTACATCTTTTCTTTCTCATGTATACACAAGACATATGGGCTCAGAGATGTTCTGAACGGATCTGGCAGGTGATGAGTTTGTTGTAGGACAGATGGTCCTCAACTGCTGGAAAAATATCAGTGCTGCTTACATTTCCTGCACAAACACAGGCAAGATAAGGACTTCTCCAGGACAGGAGGGGGGAATGGGATCACTCACAGTGACTTTGGGTCTTGTACGTTCACAAAGAACCTGTGAGGCCACAGGGAAGTTTCCTGGGTGGCCGTGGGTGGCTTTGCCCTTCACCCCATTTTGTCAAAGGGTGGCCAAAACTACTCTCAGCTCCTGCCACTAATTCAAAAAATCCAAACAGGAAGCCAGAAGGAATGAAAAAAGGGTGGGATTTGTGTACAACAGGGGACTGTAGTCGTACCTAAGATACGGGCTGGGAAGGACTGGGTGCTCTTGATGAATGTGGGGAGCAGAACTACCTAAACAAGCACCTGTTTTGGGTTGTACTCAGGAAAGAAAAGAGCTAAGGGAGGCAAAGGATTTTTCATTTCTCCCAAATGGGTTTTCATAGAATCCCAGAATGGTTTGGGTTGGAAGGGACCTGAAAGATCTCTTTCCACCCCCTGCCATGGGCAGAGACACATTCCACTAACTCAGGTTGCTCTACAGATAAATAAGGTTTTTTGTGCGCTTGACCTCTGAACAGCCAATGAGTCTTTCTTTAAAGTCTTCTTGGAGTGGGTTGAAATTTTTGACACACAAAGAACTTCACCCAGGGTCAGGAGAACCATGAACACTGAGATGCTTTACAGGAGTCACCTTGGCACCACAGCAAACACACTCCTCTGGTGTCAGTTTGATTTTTCCAAAGGTTTGGAGAAATAGTTTTTGATACCTCACAAAGAGTGGCCAAACTTTCTGATCAGATCAAATATGACATGTTCCTCCCTGAACATAAGCACAGTGGGGTTTGGAACTGGCTCGTGCACTGCAGGACAGGGCTGATGCCAGAAGGGTGGTCCCGTTTACAGTCACGCTCCTGGCGATTTAAATCCTGGCTGAAAATCCCATTTCACTTCCATTCATGCAGGGCTGATTTTCAGCTTGAGCAGAGGACTTTGGCATTGCCAGTGTCAGCACAGAGGTTGTATCCTGTGGAAAGCTCTGGGGAAGAGAAGCAAATTGCCCTTTTCCCTGACAGTGAAGTCAAAGATTAGTTTACAGCAATCCTGAAATGCAGCCTGAGGCACAACACAAACTGTCCCAGCAGAACCATTTCCAGGGTGCAATTTTAAGGAGAGTCAGGCTTATATCTTCAAAAAACCTGGAAAGTTCTGAAGGTTGGCCCCATTAGAGCAAAAAACAGGCACTACAGACTCTGCCCTACACATCTAGAAACTTCAGAAAAACAAAATTATCCACAAAGTGATTAGTCGGAAGATTTCTTTTTTTGCTATATTTTCAGCCTCTCATGACCATTCTCCTTTTCTGTATGAATGACAAAGAAACAACGATCTCAGAGCACTTACAGAGCTATACAGAGCAATCCTCTGGTAGATAAGATCATTCCTGGGAGGGAAGGAATGCTGCTCCCAGCACCAGAGGCTGAGCAGAGATGACAGCCATATGCCACTTGGCAGAAGTCACGGGGTTGTTTGTTGCTTTTTCAGGATCCCAATTCTAATGAATTATAAAATAGAGCCTAAATTAATAGTCGAGAGGACTTTATCAGGGCCCCACGCTTAGGAGATGCTCATCTGGGAGAATCTCTTTCAACTCAGAGACTGTTTGACTTGATCAAAGGTTCTTGCTTTTCAACTGACTTCTGTACAATCCTCACACTCAAGAGCTTCATGAAACAAGAGCCAGGCTGCTTCCCAGAGACAATTCGAATCCCAGTGAGATGTCAGTCTCATCTTAAAGGCCAACTGCTTGGAAAGAAGGAATTTCTGAATATTAATGCCCTCCTACAACAATGAATGACGGGACTGCCAGTCTGTGCTCTTTAGCAACTTGGTACCAACCAGGCTGATATTTGAAAGGTCTTTATCTGCAACAGAATGTACATATTTGATGTTTAATGACATCAGAACAATCATACAAGTGTGTTGTCTCTGCTAGGGGTAGAAGAGATGAAATGGTGTTACCCCAGCTTCTGGGAAAAGATAAAACAGACAAAGCTCTTCTACTCTGGAGTAAGAGCTGTACTCAAGAAGTCCAGCATTCACTGGTTGTATGAGATACTGGATTCAGCCAAAGACTGTGCTGAACTTCATGAATAAGAAATCTTTCTAATTTATCCACTTAGGAAAAAACTTCTCTTTGACAGACCAAGTCCTGCATTCCCATAAGGTTGCCTAAATAAAACTCACTGTGTGCACACAGCTGAACCTCAGGGAAGGAGAAAAATACTGCAGGTCAGAAAGTTAACTCACTTTCATTGTCTTTACATAAAACCACATTTCCCACAGGCAGCTAAAAACAGGGAGGAGATGAAAATCAAGGCAAAGAAATAATCCCACCTGAAAGATGTTTTGCTCAAATTTGAAAGGGGAGATAAACATCTTACAGAACTAAGAAATTTGACACTGGGACCTCATGGCTTAAGTTCTCCTCAAATCAACAAAGGTGGCAGAGGTGGGATGAGCTTTGCAAAGTTCTTGAACAGAGACCAGAAACACAGGATCACTTAGGTTGGAAAAGACCTCAGATCCCTCTTTTCCTGTCACTCCAGGCCTTTGTAAATAGCCTCTCTCCCCGTTTCTTGTAGGCTCCCTTCAGGTACTGGAAGACCTCAATTATGTCACCTCAAACCCTTCCCTTTTCCAGGCTGAAAGAAAGAAGTCACCCTCTGATGATGGTCAGCTTCTGATAATCCAAAGAAAAAAATAATCAAAACAAAAAAATCAAGGGAGAAAACCTCTTCCTGACCCCTCAGAGCAAACCAGGAAGGCCCAAGAGCATGAAGTGAGGATGGTTAATGTTGAATCAGAGAAATGGTTTGGAAGGGACCTTAAAGACCAGTTCCAACCCTCTTCCATGGTGGGTCTGTCTTAATGCAGAGCTGCAAGTACTCCAGGGATGTGCAGACAAATGTCCCTGAACCAGCCAGAAGGGAAGGGGTTGGGAAGGGAGGCTCATAAATCACCAGTGTGGGCCACCACCCTTGACAGACACAGAATTTCTTCTCCTGACTCGAATCAAACACCTCTTTTAAAATGATAAATTGTCTCCCCTCAGAGACTCGAAATGATGGTGATGGAAAAAGACTCCCATGTTTAATTACACTGGGAGATGTGAAGCTGCTTTATTCCGAGGTGGAACTTTTCAAACTTCGGCTTCCAGCTACTGGAGCTTGTCCTGGTTTATCAGGGGTCGGGTTGTCAACTCACTGTCAGGTTCCTGCAAGGGTTCCTTGATCATGGTGTTCACAGAATATCCTGAGTTGGAAGGGACCCACAAGGATCATCCAATCCAACTCCTGGCCCTGCACAGGACACCTCAACAATCCCACCCTGTCCCTGAGAGCGTTGTCCAAACACTTCCCGAGCTCTGGCAGCCCTGGGAAGTGACCATTTCCTAGGGAGCCTGTTCAGTGCCCCACCACCCTCTGGGGGAAGGACCTTTTCCTGAGATCCAACCTGAACCTCTCCTGACATAGTGCTGTGTCTCTTCAACTAGTAGAACGCGTTTATTCCCAGCACCAGGTTGGGTTTCTGGGCTCTGTACCCTTTCTCTGTCCCTCTTCAAATGCCCAGCAGTATTTCCATATGATCCCTGAGATGGCAACTCAGGAACTGCACAAAATGTTCTGATTTTACTGACCCTGAAGAGAGAAAACAGCTTTAACACTCCTGATTAAGGCCCTTTTCATACAAAAAAGAGTTTCAACAACCACTTTTATCTCTGCATTGTGCTCTGGGCTCACTGAAAGACACTTATCCACAACAACCCCTGAATCCCTCTTAGAGTTACTCTTTCCTAGGAATGGCATCACATTTTGAAGGTATCAACTGCATTTTTTTCTTATTCCCAGATGTAGTAACAAGTGGCATCATTATGAGAGCTGTTAAAACAGTGCAATGAGTTACTGTGTGCAGTATTTCTGGGAAATGGTAGAAAGGATGATGTTTATTGGAACTACATAAACAGGCAAAATGTTTTCTCAACACAGTTTCCCATTTCTGTTTGCACAGATGTGGGAAATGTCACCACAAAGCCCTTTCCAAGAAAGATAAATTAAATTAAAAGGTTTGAATCAGGCAAATAGATGGAATGATCCACTGATGCCTCCACACACCATCTCTCACCTCTTTTTGCTCCCTTTTTCTAATCAGAAAGTATATTCAGTATCATTGAAGAATAGAAAACCCCAAAATTTTTATGACTTGTAGAAATGAAATGAAATAAAATGAAATGAAATGAAATGAAATGAAATAAAATGAAACGAAATAAAACAAAATAATAGAGGTTTTGAATCTGCAAAGAAATACACGTTAATTTAAGGGACAAAAGACATTACAGCGTAAATTGTCATAATCAAAGTTGAAAAGAATTTTCCATTGTCTCCTGAGCCACTCTGTGGGAATTTTCCCAGCCCAGCCAGCTGGAAGGGAGGAGGGGCATTGTGAGGTTCTGTGCTCTCATTCTCTCTCTCCCTCTTTCTCTGTCAATAAATGTCTGCAATCATATTCTTGAGCTCCAGTGTGATTTCAAGGTTCATCTCTTCCATGCAGCTCAAACACTAATTATCCCAGCTGTAATTAGTAAGATAATTAAATACTGGCTCACTCATCACTCTACCTTGTGTCGGGTCGTGATTCTCCCAGAAGACCTTGAGCAGTTGCTCAAAGCTGATGTTTTCTGGCTGATAAACCACTCGAACGGCCTCGGTGTGACCAGTCCTGCCTTCAAAGACACAATAAAATCAGGGGAGAATTAACCAGGGCACATTCAGGTTTTTTTACCTGAGATACAAAGCACAACCCTTTTCTATTTTCCTAAAACTATTCTGATTTACCACCATTTATTAAGTTTTTTACACACGATTTTATACTTGTTTGGACAAGGCCATCATGAATAAACCATCCAGAGAGATGATATTACAGCAGTTAAAGGAGAAAAAAATTAATACTTTTTATATGTTTGTAACCAAAAATTAGTAAAATATTTTAAATATTCTAAATAGAGCATTAAAATATAAAAACGTGGGTGTCTAAGTTGTCTTGAAATTCTGAAACTGGGTTTGTTTCTGGGGGGATATGGATAAAGGAATTGATAATAAAATAATCATAATTACTATATAACAGCAATAATATTGATTATAAAAGCAAATTTCAAGGGTGTGTTTACACAAGGTCACGTAAATAATTTCAAGTTAATTCACAATATCCAAGCCACTGATGCCAACAGAGCCAAAAGAGTCAGAGTCTGAACTTTAAACTTTATGACAGCAGATGAAGGACAAGGAAGATTAGCAGGTGTTACAGCACATAAAAAAATATTATGCCTATTTTTCAGTTACACTGTGAACAGAATTTTTTCATTTCTTACGTGTTTATGACTCATAATGTTATTGAAAGATCCACCCTCAGAAAATATGAAGGCTACATAATTCACTTCAATTCTAATTAATAGTTACATTGGTGAGTTTAGATCTCTCAGGGTGAAAGTCCCTTGCACTGAGCGCTACACAAGCATTTTTTATTTTATATATATTATCATTATTTAAGAAATTAGGCATATCTGTTGTCATTATATATCCATGAATGGGAAAAAAAATCTTATTCTTCACTGAAATCATAATAAATAAATACTAAAATAAATAAGCTGGACAACCACATCTGCCTTTTGGTGGGGATATAACAAGCTCTTTGATCACACCAGGGAGGCTTTTATTTCATTTATACCAACAGAAACTCCAGATTTACTCAACTGACTTCAGTAGAATTGTTGAATTTCATGCAGGGCAGCAACCAGGTGATTCTGGCCCAGTGATGGGTCCTGAATGAGTTGTCACCAAACAACAAAAATCAGAATTTGTGAGTAATCTGAGGAGGGCTCAGTAGAAACACCAATTCAGTACCAAGAGAAATTTGAATTAAATTAAAAAAAAAAAAAGGTAATAAAAATAAAAAGGATCTTTGGATATATTAAAGAGATGATGGGGAAAAGTGTGACAGCATTTTATCAGCTAATGGGCACCTGAAATGAAGAAAACCTAAATGAGGCACAGAGAGCTGGTCTAGCTCATAAAAAGGATTTAAAACTGGGATCAAATTTAGTCTGGAATGCAGAGGACTAAAAGAAGACCCATCTGGGATATCTGTAATCTAGATTTTGATAAAACCAAATTGGTTCCTATCTCATGTACTTCACAGTGTAACCAAGATCAGCTCACTGAGATTAAAAGAGAACATCAAATTCCATGTAAAGCCGTGTCATCCCGTCCTCCAGGCACTGTCCAGGCACAGGGTGACCCAATTCCCTCTTTCACACTTTGCCTTTTGCAGTCCAGGGAAGCAGCTCGTTATCTGAAGTCAAATCCTGCTGGTAGGAAGCAGGAAGGATCAGCCATTTAGCAGAATAAAAATACAAGTCAGAGATAATTGGCTTAATAATAAAGTGAAATGGTCTTTCATATCATGGCAAGAACTGACCTTAGGTCAGGGATGGAATTTATTCCAGATCTCCTGGTTTAATATGGACCATCGGTGAAAATAATGAATTTTGACATCATTGAAGCCCAGGTTGGGACTTTTGTTGCTGCTGGAGATAAGGAAGGAGAGCGACCAGCCAGTGGTGTGTCCAGATCTTGCAAACCAACATTGTACAACTAAAAAAAGATTAAGGAGTGACTTCTAACTTCGATATTTTTATTTCTATTTTTATTTCTGGTTTTATTTTTATTTTTTGTAAGCCAACGTGAAGCCTATGAAAGGTTCCTCTCACTCAGGAGCAGATTGCTTTTCAAAGATGAACAGCTTTAGATCACAGGAGAATTGCCTAAAGAACTTCGAAACAACAGAGGCATTACCTTCCCTCTCGACTGAAGCAGCAATTACACCTCGTCAACACTGTCTGCTCTGACTAATCCAGAAGTTCAAAGAATCAGCATTTTTTTTCCCTCAGAATAAGGAAATAATGGTGTCACTCTGAGAACTACAACCTGACCCCGAGAAAAAAATCCTCAGATGTGCTGTAACAGACTGTTAGAACTTATTTCAAATCAATATTCATCCTCAGAGGAACAGAAAGGAAATAATCCTGCTGGTCCTACCTGGTTCCCCTATAATTTTCCTCAAAGCCTTCCCACAGTCTGGTGGATTTTCTTTCAGAATTAGCTGTGGTTATTTGTAGTAAGAACAATCTTGGTCACTGGTGGGAAGCACTTCTACTTCCCAACAATTTTAGTGGGAACAAAACCAATCAGCTGGGTACACATATGAGGAAAAAGAATGGAAAAGGCTCCAGGTGGGACAAATTTACCACAACATTTCCTAGAAGAAGGACAGAGAGAAAATGGTAGGAGGGGACAGGAAAGGGAAAAGAGCCATTTCCCACAGGTGCAGCACAACCCACAGGAAGGAGTCAGAAGTTCCTATGAGGTTACCCCAAGGAGCAAGTGGAAACAACCACTCCCAGTCTGGTCTAGTGGAAGGTGTCCCTGGCCATGGTAGGGGATGAAACCAGATGATCTTTAAGGTCCCTTCCAACCAAACCATTCTGTGATTTCGTGATTCTGTGATTCTATGGCTAGTGCTGAATAGGACTCCTCTGCAGCCAAAGTGGCAAAAAGGAACTTAAATTGTATCCTGCTGATCTTCTCATTTCACTTTTTAGACTTTCAGTTTGACTGTGAGAACAGATTCATCCTGTTTCCATTTGGGTTTCATACTTTTGTTACACTACGGAACCAAAAAGGCACGGCATCGACCCAGCTCACCACTCCTCTGTGCTGTAAAAAAAACCACACTGAGATATTTCTAATTAAACCTTTTATGTAAGAGTTCATAAAATGGAGCGGAAGTAACCAAAGAGAAACAATAACTCCAAAAAGCTGCATATCTTTAACAAGAAATCAAGCTGAAGAGCTGAAAGGATTTAAAATGGTCAGTGATAGATGGAATTCTCTCAGTGACATTCAGCTCTTCACCTCAGTGCCTCCTTCAGAATTTCTCACGAAATAATCCATTTATATTGTCAGTTAGTGTCCTCAGCTCACCTCCTCCTTTTAATTAGCTGATTTTTAATATTCCACAGCCAAAGTTTTACCGACTATGAACATTTCCAGAAGCCTTCTCCCCAAAACCCCTCGATGTTTGAATTAGTTTAAATAATTTATCAAACCACCAAATATAATTTCATTTGCTGTTAATTGTGCAAATAGAAACCCTTTATTTATAGGAGCCATTATGGTATTTCCAGTTCTGGTTCTTCTTCAGCCCTAGAAGGGGTTCAGACGTCGAAGAACCTCCCTGCAGATGGGAAGACTTTATTACACCGAGGGCTGTGTGCCAAGAGCAGATTGTCTGTTTATCCTGTATCCATTTCCCACTTAGAAAACATCACCTCTCTCAGAGGATTAGAGACAGAGAGCTCCTTCAGCGGGGATTCAAACCCTGGCAAAAATGTCCCTGTAAAGAGCAATAGAAAAAGACATCTGAGTGACACCTCGGCGCTGCTTTTCCATCCTTTCCCTTCTTAATAGCATTTAGATTCTCACCTTCTTAATCATGTCCCAGGTGAGTGCCCAAGCTGAGGGATTAAAGAACTCATTCTTTTTAACTGCCTGTACCCAGTGAGCATTTAATTATTTCCAGCAAAGTGGAACAACTTCAAAGGGCTGGAGAGCTCCTCACCTGTGAGCTCCGAGTCCCCGGCACTGACGGCACGGGAGCTTCATCCCCAGCTGGTCCTGCCTCGGGTGAATTCAATTCTACAGTTCAGGCACCACCAAAACTCCTCCCTCCTGCCTCACACCTTCAACAAAAAGGGACTTGGCTCTCTTGAATTCTGAACCCAGTAAATCTCAGAATCACAGACGGGGTTGGGTTGGAAGGGACCTTAAAGACCATGCCAAATATTCAGAAAAAAAACAGGTAGGGGACGACTTCCTTGTAGTCTTTGTCTGTACAGAAAGATCTTAAATAAATAAACACAGGGAATAAAAATAAGTCTGTTGTCTTTGGTTTTCTGCTTCGATTGTTTTAAAAGTGGGAGGTTGAGGGGCTGGAGTGTGCCCAGGGAAGGGAACAGAGCTGGGGAAGGGGCTGGAGCAGCAGGAGGAGCCAAGGGAGCTGGGGGGGCTCCCTCAGCATTCCAACCCCTGACACCTTCCACTAGCCCAGGTTGCTCCAAGCCCCATCCAACCTGGCCTTGGACACTTCCAGGGATCCAGGAGCAGCCACAGCTTCTCTGGGCAACCTGTGCCTGGTTGTCAATGTGTAATGTAAAGAAATAAGTGGCTAATCTTCAGCACTCAATGATTTTGGAGATGAACCAATTTGTGCCAACTAAAGCCTAAGCCTTGGTGAATATGCAAAGCATGACAGAAAAAGGTTCCTAGGAAAGTATTAAAAAAAAAGTGTTGGTCTTTTGAGCATCTGTTTCTCCAAAGCAGCATGGTAGTTTTTATTATGTCACACTTATCACTAATAAAACACCCAGTTCCTTCCTATGTGTTAAATAAACAAAGGGTTCAACACTAAAATACCGAGAACCCACACCTTGGGGATCTACTTCAATTTTACCTTTTTACCTTCAAAGCAATGAGCATGAAAAGAATGGAAATAATCACAAATCAATAGTTTTTTTTAAGAAGGATCCATTACAATAATTTTATTTTACTTCCTGCCTAACACAGCTGAGGGAATTCCCTGGAGCAGATCCATATTTTATACCTGTAA